CGAGCCCCCCCCCCCGCGCCCACGGATCACTCACCGATAGGGGGCCCGGCAGCCCGGCCCGCCCGGGAGCGTGCCCTGCCCCGCTGCCTCGCTGCCCGTCGCCGATGCCCCGGGGGACGCGTCGCCGCCTCCCGGGGGCGGGGTCCAGGGCGGGGGAGGGCCTCCTCCTCCTCCTCCTCCTCCTCCTCCTCCTCCTCCTCCTCTTCCTCCTCCTCCTCCTCCTCCGGTCCTCCTCCTCCGCGGTCCTCCTCCTCCTCCTCCTCCTCCTCCTCCTCCGCCTTCCTCCCCCTCCTGCTCCTCCAGGAGTGCAGGGGCGGCGGGGGATTGGGAGAAGGGGGGGTTACGAAATCTGCTGCATGCGGCTGGTCTCGGCTTCGCCGAGGGGCCCATTCCTCGATGCGTGGGCGCCTCTGGCGCTGGGAGGCGCCGGGAAAGTCAGCTACGTGAGCTGGTTCTCCCCCCCCCCCTTTGCTATCCCCCCCTTTCGCCCGACCCGAGAGCCGCTTCCCCCCTGACGTTCCCGACCCAGGTGGCCTCCTCCCCGTCCCCACACATTTTCGGTCTGCGGGGCGAGAGCGAACCTGTTCCGCTAAAAGCTAGGCGGGCTACGCACAGCCTTAATTAGGGAGACAGGGCACAGGAAGGCGGGGCCTCAGGCGGCCGGAGCGGGCGGAGCCCGGGGTGCAGGCGGTGCCGAAGAGCTTGCACAGGAAAAGGTACGCCGCGGACAGGGACCGGAAAACCCTTCCCCACACATCCGACGGTTAGTTCTGCGGGCCCAGGGGCCGCAGTCGATGGAACACTGCCGGCATGGCTCAAGTCACGTCGTCGGAGACATTTGTCCCTCCTGGACGGCGCGGCGGGCGATGGAGGAAATGCAAACATGGATGACGGGGCGTGGATGAGCGACGGGCTCCGTCGCCATGCGGAGCCGCCGCGGTTCGTCGCCAGACGAGGCGGCTTCGGGGAGGTTCTTTTTCCCCGCCCCGTGCATTTGGCGCCCGAGCGCCAGATCCATGGATAGGGGAATAAAAAGTGGCATAAACATAACAACTCGGAGGTCCGCGCGTATTTCTCGGATCGGCGCTGGGGCCCCCCCGGCGGCGCCTCCGGCGCCGCCCTTGGCGCGGTCCGCGCGCCAGGGAGGGGGGTCCAGCGCCGATCCGAGAGATCCGCGCGGACCTCCGAGTTTTTATGTTTACGTCACTTTCTGTTCCCCTAATTTGGCGCCCGAGCGCCAGATCCATGGATCCGTGATCCATGTCAGCGCGTTCCCGGGGCGAGCGGGGCGGGGAGGCGCCGCCCCCCCCGCGGGCTCTCCCCGCGGGGGCGCGCCTCGGAGGAAGCGCAAGGGGGGGGGGATAACACGGGGGGGGCAGCGAAGGCTGCCGAGATTATCGGGCCGGCCGCAAGGTGGGGATAGGGAAAGGGGGGGGTACGAAGTTTGCTACATGTAGCTGGTTTCCGCCCCATCGACGGGCCCATTCCTCGATACATGGCCGCCTCCGGCGCCGGGAAAATCAGCTACGTGAGCTGATTCTCAAACCCTCCCTTTGCTATCTCCCCCTTTCGCCCAGCCCGAGATTAGAGGAACGAGCAAGGACATACGCATCATAACTCGTAGGTCCGCGCGGAGTTCTCGCATCCGCGCTGGGGCCCCCTGGCGGCGCCTCCGGCATCTCCCCTGGCGCGCTCCGCGCGCCAGGGAGGGGGGGTCCATAGCGCAGATCCAAGAACTCCGCGCGGACCTCCGAGCTTTTATGTTGTGCCATTTTTCGCTCCCCCAGACAAGGGACCCTGTAGACTCCCTGACGGGGACCTTTCGGGTCCAGAGGGGGGTCTCCAGGGCCTGACACCAGCAACCTTCCTTGCCCTCCAATGCATCGCCCTCCCCCCACTACCGTCAGCCCGCACAGGAAGGATGGGCAACTTTCCCCAGGGTGCCCTCGCATCCTTGCCCCTGCGCCCCATCCTGAGCGACTCTGCACTTTGACTGGCCAACCTCGCCTCAACAACGTCCACTTGGCCATCCAAGGCCCCTGCATCCTTCCCGCGCACCCCTATTATTTGGGAGGAAAAGAAACACACAGACACAACTAATCCTCGACTCCCCAGAAAATATGGGAAACTATGGGAAGTGGGGGGAAGACAGACACCCAGAAAATATAGGGAATATCCGCATTTGTGTGAATTTATTTGTGTGTCCTGGGGCCCCTTCAATGATACGGGGTTGACTGCCATGCGCGCCCGAGCGCCTCCCCAGCGCGGGCGCCCCCGCGGCGAGCGGGCGTCGTCGCCGCCTTGCGCCCCCGAGGGACTCGTCGTCGGACCCCCTGACCAGCAGCGAGCGCAGCACCGTCGTGCCCGAGGACGGGCGCGCGGCGGGGGGGGAGGATTCAGTCGGGCCTGCCCCTCGAACGGAGGAGAGTTCAAGAGCCTGTCCCTCTACAGGAGGAGTGTTCGAGAATAGTCAAAAATTACTATGGTGATTATTTGTCGTGCTCTTTTGGTATTTATATATACTTGTATACATATATATATATATACACCTATACGACCACCCTTCGGGTGATAAGGAGGTTCGGGGGGGGGGAGGAACCAACGTCTCACTCGATCGGTCTCACTATCGATCTCACTATCGATCTCAGTATCGGTCTCGCTCGATCGATCTCCCTCGATCGATCTCACAATCGATCTCACTCGATCTATCTCACAATTGATCTGACTATCGATCTCACAATCGATCTCACAATCGATATCACATTCGGTCTCACTATCGATCTCACTATCGATATCTCAACCGCTACCACAATCAACGTCATCATCATCAACAACAACATCAACATCAACATCATCATCACCAACATCATCATAATCGGGACACCGTCCTCATCATCAACACAAACATCATCATCATCATCAAGGTCATCAACATCATCGGGACACCACCATCATCATCACCATCATCACAATCATCATCATCATCATCAACATCATCATCATCATCAGCAGCATCGGGACACAGTCATCGTCATCATCATCATCAGCAGCAGCATCATCATCGGGACACCATCATGATCACCATCGGTACCATCATCATCATCATCATCATCATCATCATCATCATCATCATCATCATCGGGACACCATCATCATCATCATCATCTCATCCTCATCATCGACATCATCATCAGCATCATCAACATCATCATCAGCATCATCATCATCGTCATCATCGGGGCACCATCATCATCATTACCGACATCAGCATCAACATCATCATCATCACCATCGGGACGCCATCATCGTCAACATTATCACATTAATCATCACCATCAGAATGATCATCATCATCGGGACGCCATAATCATCATCAACCTCATCATCATCAACATCATCATCATCGGGGCACAATCATAATCAGCATCATCAACATCAACATCATCATACTCATCACCATCGGGACACCATCATCGTCATCATCATGATCATCAACATATTCAGCATGATCATCATTATCATCCTCATCATCGGGACACCATCAGCATCATCATCATCATCGTCATCATCATCATCGACATCATAATCATCATCATCATCATCATCATCATCATCATCATCATCGGGACACCATCATCATCATCATCACCATCATCATCATCATCGTCCTCATCATCATCATCATCACCATCATCATCATCATCGTCCTCCTCATCATCATCATCATCAGCATCATCATCATCATCGTCATCATCATCATTATCATCAGCATCATCATCGTCATCAGCATCACCATCGTCACCATCATCATCACCATCATCATTATCATCATCATCATCATCATCATCATCATCTTCATCATCTCATCATCATCATCATCATCATCATCATCATCATCATCATCATCATCATCATCATCGCGGGACACGGCGGGACACCGCGGGGCACCGCGGGACAACCGCGGGACACCGGCGGGAGACCAGCGGGACACCGCGCGCCACCGGCCGCCCGGAAGAGACACATTTGGTCCGGCCGCGCCTCAGCCTAGGGACACCGACGGGAGACCAGCGGGACACGGGAGGGACACCGCGCGCCACCGGCCGCCCGGAAGAGACACATTTGGTCCGGCCGCGCCTCAGCCACAGGAGACTTTCCTCTCGCCCGCCCACGCAGCTTCGCCTCGCCCGCGCGTACGGCACGCACGAACACGAAACCGAAATCGATTTCCCGGTAGGGGGGCTCTCCGTTCCACTTCGATCTCACCCCCTCACCTCCGATGTATAGACATATAAAAACCATATTTCTTCCAAACGCCTGCAGGACGACATGTCCGACCAAACGGGACCAGGGAGAGTCGCTCTGCCGCGGCAGGCGCGAGCCTCGGCGGCGGCGGGCGACGTCGCCGCCGCGCCCGTCGTCGTCATCGTCGTCGTCGTCATCGTCGTCGTCGTCGTCGTCGTCGTCGTCGTCGTCGTTGTCGTCGTCGTCGTCGTCGCAATCGTCGTCGTCTCCGTCGTCGTCGTCGTCCTCGTCGTCGTCGTCGTCGTCGTCCTCCGCGTCATCTGTCTCTTCGTTCTGCTGTGTTTCGCCGCCTCGTTGTCCCACCGTCCACGGACTGTGCCAGCTCCTCCCCCCCGTCGTCGTCGTCGTCTTGGTTGCCAGCCGCGGCCGAGCTGGCCCTTAGGGTGTGGGCAGAGGGCGTGCAGGGCGTGCAGGAGGCGGTCGAGGGCATGGGCTACGAGTGGCAGATGGTGCGGCGCAGGGCGCCGCCCTAGCGCGGGCGGCCTGCCCCTCGAGAATCCCGTGCGCGGGCGCGGAAGAATGATGGGCAAATTTTCCACCACTGCTACAATCTGTAGGACGGGGGAGAAGGGAGGATGAGGAGGTCCTCCTCCTCCTCCTCCTCCTCCTCCTCCTCCTCCTCCTCCTCCTCCTCCCCTTCCTCCTTATGGTAGCGGTAGTGGAAAATGGGCCCACCAAAGAATGGCAAGGAGGCCACGATGGGGAAGTTCGTATTGCTGGTGGACGAGGGTGGCGACGACCTGGAGGAGGCCACCGAGGCGATCGGGGGGAGATCCCACGGGCGGCCGCGCTGGCGGGCGGGGTCGTGCGGGTGTAGCCAGGCTCGAGGGACAGGTGTCCGAGCAGACGGCGGAGTGCAGGACGGGCGGCAACGGCGGCCAGAGTGCGTGCAGACGGAATGGAAAGATGAGATCGCTGAGCAGGCCGAGAGCGTTGCGAAGGACAGGGGCGCGCGGCTGCGGAGAGGCACGACGCGGCCGCGCAGCGAGATTGTGGGCGCGGACGATGCCAAGGTGAAGGTGGCGGAGCCGGTGGCCGCGGACACCAAGGTGCTGGAGGTGGGCGGGGGCGCCAACCCCAACAGCGGGGAGTTCGACTGCGTCGATTGGGAAGCGGAGGAGGAGAGCCTGCAGGAGAGCTCGGAAGAGCTGGGCAGCTCGAGCGACGGCGGCGACGTCGGCTGGGCAGCGGGCGAGGGGGAGAGCTCGCAGGAGAGCTTGCGGGGGGCGGCGGCGCGGAGGACTACTCGGTGGGCTGCGCTGGCGGGGCCCCGTGGGTCAGCTGCCCCGGCGACGGCCAGGCCTGCGACGTAGCGGACTACGTGGAAACGTACGGCGAGTGTCCCACGGAGTGGCCCGGCGAGCGGGCGCACGCCAGGAAGGTCGACGGCACCGATGGGGATCTTCAGCGCGGCCTGAGGCGTTCGGCGCGGTGGCTCGAGGTTCGCCAGTCCAAGCCGAACGAGCCACAGTTGTTTGCCAAACTATTGCCCAGCACAGTCTCGATGGAAAAGATTTGTGATGCTCCAGCCTGCTTGAGCCTTGACTGCCAGAAAGAATTTCGAGCACCAGGAAAACACCGAAACTGGAGGGTTTCCGCGCGTCGGGCCCTGGGAGGCGACTTTCGTTTGACGCTGTTTGGATACTTTCCTGGGTGCCCGGACTGGTTTCTGTGATGTGGTCCTCGAGCACGATGGGAACAACATAAGCAAAGACGTATATATCCGAGCGGCATGGGGAAGTGCATTCGGAGCGGTTCCTTGACGGCTCAGTTTGTTTTCCTTGCTGGCGCCTTCCCCCCGCCGTAGGGTGCCTCGCGAAACGTGGCGGACAGAGCGTGGAGCTCAAACATTCCGTTGGTTCTCCTGCGCACCTCGCTGCGACTCGGCCGGGCCCCGCCGACGAAGCCCCCCTCGCCTTCGGGCGGCGCCGCGGCCCTTCGCTCCCCGAGGGCGGCGCCCCGCGGGGTCCGAGAACAGCCTGCGCGGGCCGGCGGTCGCGGGCCGGGCGCGCGGGCGGCAGGGCGGCGCCCGCGGCCCCCTCGTCGTCGTCGTCGTGGTCGTCTTCGTCGTCGTCGTCGCGGTCGTAGTCGTCGTCGTCGTCGTCGTCGTCGTCGTCGTCGTCGTCGTCGTCGTCGTCGACGTCGTCGTCGTCGTCGTCGTCGTCGTCGTTCTCGGCGTCCGCTTTCGCCCCCCGCTCTGCCGTGTCGTTCATATCCCTCGTTTGCTCTCCTCAAGATTCCTCGTCCTCCTTGTCTTCGCATCCTCCTGCTCCATCACCGCGTCATCCTGCTCCTCTCGTCTCCCCCCCTCCCCCCCCATCCCGCGCCTCTTCCTCCTGTTCCACCTTCCCGTCGCGCCCCCCTCGCCTGCTCCCGTTGGTGTTGCTCGTGTTCGTGCTCCTGCTCCTGCCCCTCCTCGTTCTGTCCCCTGTTCCCTTCCCATTTGTTGATCCGTACGCCTTTTTCTCTTGTCGTGTTCCTGCCCCTCCTCGTTCTGTCCCCTGTTCCCTTCCCATTTGTTGCTCGCGGCGCCTTTTTTCTCTCGCTGTGTTCGCCGTTTTCCGATTCTCTCAATGCCCCCCTCTTCGGTCCCACGCGTGGAGTGCAGCGAGCCGCTGCCACAGACCATGCGTGGTGTTGCTCTTTATTGGGCGCGCCCGCGCCTGCCATCTTCTCGAAAACCTGCGGGATGAGGACCGCCAATCTTCAGAGGAGCATGAAGTATGGATAAAGGTCGCCTTCAAGATTTCCAGGTTTTCCTGTTCTTCCGCGCGGGGTCCGGGGACGAATGGTCGAGCGCAGTCCGTCGCGCAGCGCAGGTTCTTTGCGTGATGTGAGCGGTGCATTTTTCATGCGAAGACATGCTTATCTGCTCGTGCGAAGTCATGGTGTGTTGAGTGTTCATGATGTGTTGCAGTTGCCTGTGAATTCTGGGACCCCGACGTGTGCGAACGCTGGCACCTGCGAGCCATGCGCGGCCCAAACATGGGTGCGATGTCCGCTGCGCGCGCACGCTAGTACGAGCACCCGCATGCACGGACACATGGCGTGTCCGTGTCGTATCGGCTCGGTCGCGACCCGTGCGCGGGCGTTCAAGGTTGAACGCCGCCAGTGGCCCAGAATCGGCCGATATGGAACGTTCTGGCGATTGACAATCCGCCGATCATCCAAGGTTGACATATTCATGCGGTTTCAGGAACCAACGCCGAAGTCGTCACCACACGAACTTGCCGCACATGCGTTGGGACAGTCATTTATCCCCCCCGAGTTCTTTCTCCACTGCGGTATTTTCCCGACTTACCATTCCTTCAGACGTCCAGGTTCCGTCGCTTCCCGTGATTGTGTTCAGCGTTTCCCGCCGTCCTTTCGGTTTGTTTCGCCCCCGTCCAACCGTTCGATCTGCCAACATTTTTCCCCACCCGCCCACCCCCCCACCACCGTCGCCGTTGCCGTTGCCGTCGCTGTCGCCGTCGTTGTCGCCGTCGCCGTCGCCGTCGCCGTCGCGGTCGCCGTGACCGTCGTCGTCGTCGTCGTCGTCGTCGTCGTCGTGGTCGTGGTCGTCGTCGTCGTCGTCGTCGTCGTCGTCGTCGTCGTCGTCGTCGTCGTCGTCGTCCTCCGCGTCCTCTGTCTCTTCGTTCTGCTGTGTTCTCGTCTCGCCGCCCCGTTGGTCCCACCGCCCACCGACTGAGCCAGCCCCTCCCTCCCGTCGAGGAGCAGACGCTCGCCCCCGAGGGCCCAGACGGGATGCCGCGGCCTCAGTTTCCGTCACCGGTGCGGCCGGCTGGCGAGGACCACCCCGAGGTCCGGGCCCCTACCAACGGGATTTTCTGGATCAGCCAGGACATTGGCACGGCCGAGAAAAAAACATTCAGCCAGGGGTCGAATCGTTCTCCTGTGTTCGTGCGGTCCAGGTGCCAGGTGGGATGTTCAAGATTCCGGTGTGCAATGCCCTGGCTTTAGAGGGGGCATGATTGAGGCGTTGGGTAAGTAGTCAGATTTCCCGGACCCCATCCCCCTTTGTTTCCATCCTCCTCCTCCTCCTCCTCCTCCTCCTCCTCCTCCGGCGGCAGCAGCGGCGGGAGGCTGGATGCCATGCGGCCGGCGCTTTGGGGGTGTTAGACTGCGATGCGGCGCCGCTGGTCAGCTTCAAGCACGCTGCCGTGGAGGCCCGTGCCAAGAGACACCCTGCTTGCATTCGGGGTGCCCTGGGTTTCTGGGGTTTCGAGGGTTTCGCGATGGAAATCGCATTCCTTGCACGCCCAAAATCGATGGACCTCCTGGTGTCTCAGGATTGGGTTTCTTGCGGAAGGTTTCTTGTGGACTGGCCTCCACTGTATCCTCCACCCTGGGGATATAGAGTGCACCCACGAGGCCTTGACAGGGGGGACAGCGTGCACAGAAGGGGCCCTCGCCGGGGCATCGCTTCACGGGGACAGCGTGCGTTTCGGAGATCGATGTGGCACGCTACCTTTCCAGTGCAAGCCGGAAGGGAAGGGGAGTAGGAGGTGGTGTCGAGCAGTGGCGAAGCGTCCTGGCCCGCCTATGGGCCCACCAAAGAACATTCTCAGAACATTTCTGGCAAAGACTCTCTTGTTTTCACACACTGGGCACATGTTCTAAGAACATTGTTTTTGGTTCTAGGAGCATGTTCGGTTTCTAAAAGCATGTCGTGGTAGGCCTGAGGAGTGCCGGGACGGTCAATCCCTGCTCACGAGGATGAGGTGGTGGGAGGATCGAGGAGAAGTATACAAGGAGGCACCGTATTCGCGGGGCGACGGCGGCCGAGGTCGTGGGGCGAGACGCCCACTGCCAGCGTGGGTGCCGCGATGCTTGAGCAGATGATGAAGTACAAGGCGACGACGGGGGACTGGAATCCTTGCCCTCCTGTGGTGAATCTCGTGCACGTTCGTTCGCTACGTCCCCGCGATGCGCGACGCGTGGACATAGATAGAGCTTGCTGGATAGTTTTCGGAATGCCAGGTTTCTCATCCAGCCTCGTCTCCACGTCCGTGCTCCTGGAATGGGCTGCCTTTGATGTTCTGCCAGCCTCTCTTTCAGGATTCACGCTCGTAACTATTCTGGCTCAAGATCGCCTGGCGGCGATCGGAACGGGCGCCACGGCGAGCCACTCCCAGGTCGCAGTCTGCGCGCGATCAGCCCTCCTCGCTGGCTCGGGGGCGCTGCTCTGGAGCCAGGTAGCCTGGCATCTGGCGAGCTGGGCTGCTGGGCACTTCGGGCCTGAGGCGGCTCGGGTGCTGACTGTCGCGGGGGCGCGGGGCGTCGCCGCGCTGGGCGAGGCCGCCCACACTGCCTCTTGCTGGGGCTGGCGCGCGCTGCAGGCGGCAGCGACCTTCGCGAGCTCCTTGCTTGCTCTCGCTTGGGAGCATCGCGGCTGGCTGGCACGGGGAGCCCGAGCCGCCTGGTCGCGTGGCCGCGCTGCGCTTGGGGCTGCTTGGGCTCTGGGCGCGCAGGCCGTCGGAGGGCTCCGTGGCTGGAGGGCGGCCCGTCGGGCCGACCGCGCACGCGCTCGCGAGCTCGCAGCCGCTTCAACCGCTCTCGAGTACGCCTTGGTGGAGATGGCGCTTGCAGGTGGCGTAGCCGTCGGGGCGGCCGACCCTTGCTGGGTGCTGCTTTCCCGCGGCGGCGAGTGGGACGAGGTCCTGATCTTCGGGCAGGTGCGGGGCGCGGACTACAGCCTGGGCTTGACGACGGACGCGACGGGGGTCATGTTCATCTGGGTGCTGGTGCGCCTGTTGCCAGGGCATTTCCGCGCTGTGGTCGTGCCTGGAGGGGGAGGCCTCCGCATGCCGCCGTTCGGCGTTCCTGGCGCCCAGGCCAACTGGGTGTGCGAGCCGCCGCACGCCGCGGTCCAGTGGGACCCGAGTGTGGCCGAGCTTGCCGCGCTGCGCTTGGAGGCCCAGGGCGTGGACGCGGCCCTGCAGACCTTCGCGCTGGCGCCGGGGGCGATCTTCGATGCGGGCTCGCAGGCGGCGTCGATCCCCGCCTTCATGCCAGTGGGGGGCCCTCTACCACCTGCAGGGGGCGGAGCCGTCGTGCCAGCAGCAGCGGGAGCCGCGGGAGCCGCAGCGGCGCCCCCACCCGCAGGCGCGGTTGCGCTACCCGCCGCGGGCGCGGCGGGGCCCGCGGCTGCCGCGGGTCTGGGCTTCGGCGCCGTGGGAGCGCCCGACGGAGCAGCAGCCGCCCCCGCAGCGGGCATCGATCTGGCTTCACTGCTTCAGGAGGTCCGCGCGATCCAGGGCCAGCTGCAGGATGGGGGCGGCAAGAGCAGCAAGCGAGAGAAGAAAGACAAGAAGTCTGCCACCAAGAAGAAGAAGAAGAAAAAGAAGAAGAAGAGGTCCGACTCCAGCGGCTCGACAAGCTCGAGCGACAGCAGCTCCTCCAGCAGCAGCGACTACCTGCGGTGGCGCGGGCCCAAGGCAAAGAGCCATCGGGTCGACCCCGCCCAGGAGCGCAAGTTGGAGACCGAGAAGTTCAAGGCCAAGGGCGACCTCCTGGCGTTCGCGGCGAAGCACCCGGGCGCGCTCTCGGGGTACTTCCTGGCGATGGTGCACCGCAAGTTGAGCCACGGGCGCTTGACGGAGACCAAGCAGCTGAGGCGCGCGTCGGTGACGACGTGGGCGCAGGCGCACTCGGGCTTGACCGGGCTGCGGGACCAGCGCGAGGTGCAGACGTTGGCGCTCGTCATGGACTTGATCAACGCGCAGGACCTGGCGACCGCGATGGACGTGCTGGCGCAGCGCATCATCGCGATCCAGCGGGCGAAGGCCAAGGGCGGCTCCTGGGAGAAGGCAGAGGCCGCGGAGCTGCTAGCTGGCACGGGGGGCGGGGTCGCTGCAGGCGGCCTCTTGAAGCTCACCATGTGACGAGGTGGCGGAGGGCGCGGCAGAGGTGGCTGCGCCGCGGGGGCCAGGAGTGCACGTTGGCTTCCGTCTTGGTCGGTCTGGGCGACTGGCTGAGCTTCGCTGGAGGGCCGCTGGGGCTGCCACTACGCCGTGGGCACCTCGTTCGGCCGCGTGTCGTGGAGTTCGGGAAGACCTCGCCAGGCATCTTCCCAGTCCCTCTGCTGCGGCGTGGTGACGCCGAGCTCGCAAAGTTCGGGCGGCAGCATCGGGACGCAATTTTGATTTGGGCGAACATGTGCATCGTCGCGCTCAACGATCTGTACGACGGAGACGGCGACTACACCATGTTGCCGACGCAAGCCCAGCGACGTGTGCAAAGGCGCATGCTGATGGGCGTCTCCCGCTTCCTCGCGGCCGAGTTGGCTTGGCCAGAGGCGGCGACAATTCAAGAGGTCCTGCGTCACTCCGACGGCTACGAGCCGTCCAGGTGCGTCGCGGAGCCCCTCGGCGAGCGTGGCGGAGTGCCAGACCGCGCCGCCGTCGTCGACCTGGCTGGGCTGCTGGACGAGCACTTTCCTGGGCTTGCTCATCAGGTGCGCTGCCCTCGATCGCTGCTCCTGAGCGTGGATCGGCGGCCCGCCAGGCTCAAGAGGCCTCACACGCTGGTGGGGCCCACCTACCCCAGTCTCGTGGCGCGCAACGTGGCGGCGGGCCTGCAGGGGTACGGCTCCAAGAAGAGGGTGCGCAAGCATCGTGGGGTTGCTCTCGTGGCTGGGGCGTTCGGCGTGAAGAAGTCAGACACGGAGCAGCGGGTGATCTCGGACCTGCCAGTGAACCAGCTGCTCAACCCTGATGCTCTCCCTCGGCCGACCTTCGCGTACCCGCCGCGGCTCCGTGTGGTCAAGACGCTGCCAGGCATGCGGGTCAAGCTGTGGAAGCGGGACCTGCGCCACTACTTTCACCAGCTGGCGATCGGCAAAGCCTGGCGGAAGTACATGGCCCATCCACCCGTGCCTGACCCGCGCGGAGGGAAGGGGAAGGTGTTCCCGTTCCACCACGCGACGCCGATGGGCTTCGCGCCGTCGGCGGGCTGGGCACAGGCGGCTTCCGACACCGCTTTCCTGAAGGCAGGGCTACCCCAGGGGCGCAGGGTGACGTTTGACCAGCCCTGCCCCACCGAGCTGCCGCTCTGGGGGTCCATCATTGACGACCTCTGGGCGCTGGACGCGCGCTCTGCAGGCGACCGCGCGCGGAGCCAGGCCGACTTCTGGATGACCAAGGCCGAGCGCGCCTGGGACCGCTTGGGAGTTCCTGTGCATCACGGCAAGTCCGTGGACGGCGGCAGCGGCGAGTTCCAGGGCACCGAGGTCCACCCCACGGAGCACTGGCTGGGTACCACTCGCCGCCGCCGCGTGGACCTCTTCGCAGCCACCCTCGCTCTTCTGGGCCAGCAGCTGGTCTACCGCAAGGACGTGGAGCGCTTGGTCGGGAAGCACGGTTTCTGCCAGAGTTATCGGCCCTGCTTGCGGTCAAACTTTTCTCAAGTCTATTCTTGGCTGGAGCGCCTACCCTTGCAGGGGCGCAAGCCCGTGGCGTGGTGCCCGTTGGCGTGGCATGAGGTGCTGATGTCGGCTATCCTGCTGCCGTTCGCAGAGCAGGACCTGGATGCGGACTGGTGCCCGCGCGTGGAGTGCACTGATGCCGCGCCAGGAGGGCATGGCCGCGCCTGGGCGACGCTGCCGCTGGAGTCGGTGCAGCACATCGCCAGGTGGGCTGACCATCGGGCGCCCTACACCATGCTCGGCGACGGCTTCGGGGTTGACGTGGACGTCGAGGGGCGCTGCAGCCTGGCCCGTGTCACGCTGCCGCCAGTGGGCCACTGGTTCAAGGTGGGCAGGCCAGGCGGCTATGAGCACATCACGCTTGAGGAGGCGCACGCGAAGCTCTGGGGCATGGAGGCCCGTCTGCATCGGCCCTCTGAGCTGGGGAAGCGAGTACTGCATGCTGGAGACAACGCCCCGTGCGAGGGCGCCTTCATCAAGGGACGCAGTGCCAGCCGCAGGCTCAACCGGCGCTGCCGCCGTGGGGCGGCTATCGAGCTCGCGGGCGGGTTCTCGCACTTCCACTTCTGGATCTCGACAGGCAAGAACCCCGCCGACGAGCCCAGCAGCTGGCACGGGTCACGCCAGGCGCGTGGCGGCAGGCGCAAGCCGCCTCAGCCGCTGCCCCGCCAGGAGGTGATCCCGCTGGCGCCAGCAGGGTGGGCATCTCGCGAGAAGCTCTTCCTGCACTTCTGCTCTGGGCCCAGGCGCGAGGGCGACCTGTGCGAGATGGTCGAGCGGGAGGCGCGCGAGGCTGGCCTGGTGGTGAAGGCGCTGGCCTACGACCCCATGGTCGACCCTGCCCATGACTTGACGTCGCCTGTGCTGGTGCGCGAGCTGAGGGGGCTGTGCAGCAGCGGCGACGTGATGGGCTCCTTCGCAGGGCCGCCTTGCTCGACCGTCAGTCGCGCCAGGCATCGCGCCCTGGGCGGCCGCCGCGGCCCGCGCCCTCTGCGCTCTCGGGACCAGCCGCTCTTGCCCTTGCCTGAACTATCAGAGTCCGAGCGCCAGGCGTGTGCGCTGGGAACGCATCTCTTCCTCCTCTGCCTCGAGCTCTTCACCAGAGTCCATATCAGAGGGGGCTGGGCATGACAGGAGCATCCTCAGGATCCAGGTCGTCATCCTTTCCCGTCTTTTTGGATTGCTCAGGAGGTGGTGGAGTGGATCTCAGAGTTCGGTTTGTACGTGGTCTCGTTCGATCAGTGTCGGCATGGATCGTTATCTCAGAAGCCCACGTCCGTTGTCACCAATGACGCCAGGGCCGCCGCTGTCTTGGGACTTCGCTGCAATCATCGACACCGTCACAAGGGCGTGTACGGCCTGGCCCCGAAGGGAGGTTTCGTCACCGCTCAGTTGGCTCGCTACCCTCCGCAGCTGTGTCAGGCTCTGGCTCGCTTGGCGGTCAACGCGCTCGTCGCCCATCAGCAGCACCTCAGCCATGGCCGACGATCCTGGCAGGCGCCGTGGGCGCATCATTACCTTCTTGATGAGCGCGCTCAAGCCAGTGACGACCGACAGGTACGCCGCCGCGCTGTGCGATTTCAGCTCTGACCTGGAGGCGCTGGGCTACAGCATCCACGAACTCACTGAGGAAGAGCTCGATTGGTTCCTGGCCGAACGAGTGGTGGATATGTTCGAGGAGTCTGGCGGGGTGGACGGGCTCGGGACTGCCTCAACCCTGCTGGCCGCCTTCGCGAAGGCGAATCCTCGGCACCACTACCGCACGGCCTGGAAGGCGCTGGACGTCTGGCGCACCCGCAGGCCGCCTCTGCAGGCGCCCGCCTTACCAGCGGTGCTGGCGCTGGGCATCGTGAACTGGCTCGTGCTGGCTGGAGAGTGTGGCTGCGCCGCCGCCGTGCTGCTGTGCTTCACTGGGTTGCTGCGAGCGTCCGAGGCGCTCTCCTTAGACGGCGCGACCTGGATCAGGACCGTGACAGGGTACGTTGCGCTGCTCGGCCGCACCAAGAGAGGGGCAGAGCAGAAGGTCCTGTTCGAGGAGCCGTCCACCGTGACCTGGCTGGATCACTACATGCTGCGCTTTCCCGCCAGAGCAGGGCAGCGAGTGTGCCCCATCTCGTGCCCGCGGCTCCGGCGGTGGCTTCAGAAGGCCGCCGGCGCGCTGGGCTTCGGGGCTGTTCACTGGACTTCTCATGGGTTGCGCCGTGGGGGAGCCACTGAGCTGCTGTCACGGGGCGTGCCGCTGGCGGACATCATGCTTTTCGGTCGCTGGCTCTCAGAAAGGTCTGCTCGTGAGTATCTCCGACGCGGGGAGGTGAGTCTCACTCGCTTGCGCGTTGACATTGCCAAGTCGTCATGGTCTCTTGCCTACAGGTACTGTGCAGTTGGAGCCCAGGTTTGGGCTGTAGTCTGAGTTTCAGTCAGTTTCTTCTTCTCCAATTGTTGTTTCGTAGCTTTCGCTGGATAGGGGAAGGTGGCGAGGCATTGGCCTACGCAGGCCAGCTTGGTGCGATCGTGGTCGCACTCCACCTTTGGAAAATAATCTGGTACGCTTCGCGTGCGCCATCCCCTGTGAAGGGTCGGAGAGGTGGTTGTAGGTGACGTTCTGAAATAGATAGAGCTTGCTGGATAGTTTTCGGAATGCCAGGTTTCTCATCCAGCCTCGTCTCGACGTCCGTGCTCCTGGAATGGGCTGCCTTTGATGTTCTGCCAGCCTCTCTTTCAGGACATCGATTCGCGACTCGAGCCGCCGCCCTGGAGACGGCCACCTCGGCGGCCCCTGTGGCGACGCGCAGGGCGTGGCCAACCTTCGCGCCCCTGGGGGCGACCTGGCAGCCCCCTCAAGTCGGGCACGACCCCCCCTACAGGAGGAGTATGTCACAATAGTAAAAACACAGTCTGGGGACGACGACTTGTTTGCATGATTTTTCGGCCACGCTTCGGTATGTTTCGAAGTTCTTCCAAAACCCGCCTGTAGGAGGACATGCGGCCTCGCCCTGAGGCCCCGCCGCTTTCTCTTCCCCTCCCTCCGCCTAATTCAAGCTTCGCGCGGCCCGCTTAGCTTCGACGGGAAGAGGTGCGCTCTCGACCCGCGGGTCAAAACATCTGTAAGAGGACATGCCCGATGTGGCAGCAGCCCTGTGGCGCGCTCGCGGCACCCGCCGCCTCCCCCCCCCCACCTGGGACGCCGCGCGGCGCGGCTATAGCCCGCCCCCAGCGGCCATGCTGCCCCCGGACCCGGCCCCAAGCTTGCCACTGATGGGCCTGTTTTCCACCACCACCACCATAAGTTGGAGGGGGAGAGGGTCCTCTGCCTCCTCCTCCTCCTCCTCCTCCTCCTCCTCCTCCTCCTCCTCCTCCTTCCCCCCTGCAACTTATGGTGGTGGTGGTGGATAACAGGCCCATCATGCCACCCTGGGGCCAGCGCCCCGAGGGGGCACGGCCGAGACCCGCAGGGGGCGGGGCACGCCGCCGCGGGCCACCGCGCGCGCGAGCCCTCGGGCGTGGGGCGCCTCCTCCGCGGCCCCGCCTCGCCGCAGGCGGAGTGGGCGGGGGCGCGCCGTGGGCCGACCGCCTCCTCATCTCCCCCTCCGCCTCGCTGCCCCGGCCCCTGCTCGGCCTCCTCGGCCTCCTCCTCCTCCTCCTCCTCCTCCTCCTCCCCCTCCTCGCCTTCCTCCTCCTCCTCCTCTGCCTCTGCCTCTCTCCTCCTCCTCCTCCTCCTCCTCCTCCTCCTCCCCCTCCTCCTCCTCCTCCTCCCCTCCCTCCTCCTCCTCCTCCTCCTCCTCCTCCTCTCTGCCTCTCCTTCTCTCTCCTCCTCCTCCTCCTCCTCTCTCTGCCTCTGCCTCTGCCTCCTCCTCCTCCTCCTCCTCCTCCTCCTCCTCCTCCTCCTCCATACCCCTCTCCTCTCGCCAGGCCCCCCTCCGCGGCAGGGGCCCCCTCGACACCGACCGAGAGCCAGCCGGACGCGGGAAGGATGGGGGGAGGCGGGCGTGGCGCACGCGATGGTTTCGGGGGGACGCGCCCCTGCTCCCTCCAGCAGCTGCCCCTCGCAAGCCAAGGCTCCACTCACTCCTTAGCGGGGGAAGCTGAGGGGAGCCCCGGACAGCGAAGGGGCGGAAAAGAGGGGGTTGATGACTAGGGTGTGTGTGTGTGGATATCATGGCGGGGGCAATGATATTTCCCCAGATTTCGTGGCGCCCCTTCTTATTTTATCACGTCCCTGGCCCCCCCTGCTGGGCCGCGCACGTGCCGCCGGTCATGATTTGCACACCCCTCTCTTGGACACCCCCTCTTGGCCGCTCCCGAGCACAGACTCCACTCACTCCTGAGCGGGGGCAGTCGAGGGGAACCCCGGACAGCGAAGCGAGACTTCCTCGATCGTCCCTTCCTGGGCACCCTTACCTTTCCCTTGGGGCGATCGCCAGGCGAGGGCCCTCGTCCTCGGTTGCCGTTCGAGGCTGTGCGGCGCGCCGCCCCGCGGCCGCGGCCTCGCCACTGAGGCACCGACGCAGCACGCAGCCTCCGGCATCTTCGGGTGCGCTGCGCTCTCCCGAGGCGGAGGGCGCAGGGCAAGGTCTCGGCGACGCGCAGGACACGAAGAGCGCGGCCCTCCGAGGAGGGCTTGACCCAAGAGCCCTCCCGCCCCCTCGCCTTAAGGCGGGTATGTCGCTCTAAAGGAGGAAGATGCAAACACAGTCCACAAATAGTATGGGGGCGACTGTTCGATGTGGTTCTCCACTCCTTTTGAGTTTTGCTCTTTTTTATTTGTACTCGAAAATCAGCCCGTAAGGGGACCTTCCCGACCTAGGCGTCGCCGCCTACAGAGCGTCGCCAAGGGCGGGAAGGGCGTGGGCGCGGCGCGCAGATGTGTCCGACCATGTCCGACCCGACCCCAAAGGGCGTCCGCGAGGGTGCGACATGTTTCTCGCTTGCAGTTGGGCCGAGGTTTTCAGGTCGAGGTTTGTCCGGGGAGGGTGCCCTGCTAGTCTTCGTGTGTGTGTGTGTGTTTGATGTTTTTGCGCAGCCTCGACTGTGGAGACTGCACGGTTGTGACTGAGGCGCCATTTGCTACGGTCCAGATCATGTAACTATCCGCTTTTTCCCCTCTCGCTCCACATTCGAGGGAAGGCACCCTCGGACGTGCCGTGTGCTTCTTCGGTCGGCGGAGGGCCTCATGTCCTTGGAGGATGTTTTTCTGTCCTATGGGTCCGCTCCCCTCTCCTCGTCTTCCTCTGCTAGCCCCCGCCCCCCTGGGGGGGGCGAGGGCAGCGCGAGGGCGCGAGGTCCTTCGCCTTGTCGCGCTCCTGCGCTCCTGCGCTGCTCGCGCTTCTCGCGCGGCGCGAACCTGGGCGCCCTGACCTGCGGACGGCGATCAGCGGGGAGGAGGCCTGTTGCCACATCACTTCCAGATGTCTAACACATGGTTTCACCATGCCTAGAACATGCAGAACACAAGTTTTTGCCCATACGCAGAGCACTCTCCAAATACTTCGAAACACATGTTTCATTCAATGATGGGATTGTTAGGGTGCCCACTGCCATGGCTTCCGCAAGCCTTGACCCCGCCGTCGGGAGGCTGGGAGGAGGGCCGGCCGCGGGGGCTCAGCGGGCTGCCAGGCGGCAGCGGCGCTGCAGCCGCCGCCGCAGGCGCGCCCCGCGGAGGACGCCACCGGGTTGGGCTTTGGGGGAAGGGCTCAGGGACAGGGGTCATTTCGATTCCTCCGATTCGATTCGAATCGATTTCGGTGGCTTCCGAGTCCGATTCGATTCGACTTCGGACTCCGATTTGATTCCGATTTTTCATTGGAGGCCTGCAAGCCTGCCGATTTCCGCCGATTCGACTTCTCCCGACTCGGCTGCCGATTTCCGCCGATCCGATTCCTTTCGATCGCCGATCCGACATATCGATTCGATTCTGGGTTCTCCTGCAGGGAGGAGGCGTGGATTCCCAATCGCCCAGTGATTGCCACTGGTGAAGCAGGGGCGAAGCGTCCCCGCTCGCATATAGCCGCACCAAGCAATGTTCCAATGACCTTTTGTGGCTCCCACGAGGTATTCTCAGAACAGTTCTGGCTGGGACCGTCTTGTTTCAACACATCGGGTTTATGTTCTAAGAACATCGTTTTTGTTCTGCTGACATTTTTGGGTTCTAAGAACATTCCGTGGTATGACTATAGGAATGCCGGGACGGTCGGTCCCTGCTCAAATTGGGGGCCTAACAGCCCAACTCTTCCAGGACCGCGCAGTTTTTTGCCATCGGGCGCCCATCGCCGGTGTCTCGATGGAGGCATCTCGCCTATGCAGGGCGGATGCTTCACATCTTCTGGGCGGGTCCGACTCACGTTGCCCCTCACTGCTGGCATTTGAGATTCGTCTCGTGATGCGAATTTTAGGTGGAGGAGGCGGAGGAGGAGGAGGAGGAGGAGGAGGAGGAGGAGGAGGAGGAGGAGGAGGAGGAGGAGGAGGAGGAGGAGGAGGAGAGGAGAAGGAGGAGGTGGAGGAGAAGGGGGGAAGAGGAGGGAAGGGGAGGAGACTTGGCATCACGTGACGAAATCACTCTACCTACTTTGGAGGGCGGCGGCGCTGATGCCGGTTCTTGCTGGCTGTCGCGTGACTCCCCGCAGCCTGGCGACGAGAGAGCCGAAGGAGGGCTTGCCATGTCGAGACAGTGGCGGCCCTCCTTCCCGGCGTTTTGTTCGGCCTCTGCCTGGGCCTCCCGGAGACTTCTCTCGTCGTCGCGGCCGGTTCTGGTTCGGCAAACGGGCCAGGATAGACATTGGGAGGGGCCTGGGGATAGATCTTGAGTGGATCTACAGTCAAAGCACATAGGAAGAACGCACGGATGCCCTGAGGGCACCGTTGCGTCCTTGCCTCTGCGGCCCGTCCTTCGCGGTGAGCCTTTCAGGTTGTTGGCAGTCCGCCGCCCAAGAAGTGCCAACTTCGGCGTCCAAGGCCTTTGCGAATTACCGCCCGTCCTTCTCTCATAGATTTCGACTGTAGGCTGGGCGAGTGGTGCGTCCTGGCAGGTCCCCCCGGGCGGGGACGTGTGCTGCAGATCCCGAAAAGGGGACGGCACCCATTTCCCCCCCCCCGCACGGCGGTGGAGGGTTGCCTGTCCAGACAGGGGCAGACCAGAGTCTCTATCTGCGTGATCTCGAATCCCAGACCCCCTCGAGTCATGACAAAATCACGACGGGAGGTCTCCACTATTTTTGGCCTGGGGGGCTGGGCCTCAGGACCGTCCACAAAACGACTCACCATGCAAAACTGGTCCTGGGGAATGGGTCGAGATCATTGGGCGTCGACGTCATGAATCAAAACCATTACGTCGGGGGTCTGGGATCCCTGTGGCGTTACATCGGACGGGGCTAGAGCGAGGATAAGTCCGTTCCAGAGCGTTCCGGAGCGCTCGCAGAGCGTTCCGGAACGCTTTGAGAAAGCCGCGGCGGCCGAGACATCGTCCAGAGGTGCCGAGTCTCAGAGATTCTCGATTTATGTACTCACCTGATTTTGTCGTCATCCTGGCTTCGTCTCATTGCATCAGGCAGCGGATCTTCGCGATGTCCTGGAGGTGTCGTCGAGTCGGGCGCCTCCTGGAGGCGTCACTGACTTGGGCGTCTGAGGCCCACGCCGGTCCGCGAAGCTCATCCTGAGCGACGGGAGCAGAGTGCCGGTCCCGAAGTGTGGCCAGGCCCGCGTCGCATCTCGAAGAGCTTGCAGTGGGGGCCCACGCCAAGAAGTACCACGCTTGCCTCCAGGGTGCCCTGGGTTTCTTGGGCTTCGCGATGGAACGCGTGGTGTTCCCGCACCAAAAAATCAAGTGACGTCCTGGGGTCTCAGGGTTGGGCTTCTCGTGGAAGTTCTCTTGTGGACTGGCCTCCGCTGCAATTCGTCCCGCAATCGGGTCGTTCGCCCGCCCGGCCGTTCGCCCCGCAGTCGGCCGGGGCCTCGGCCTCGGCATCGGCCAGACGGCGGCGGTGCCGCCGGGGGGCGCGCAGCGCGCCCAGGGTCCTCGGCATCGCTCGGGCGTGTGCGTCTTTTTTTTCTGTCGGCGAGGGCCATCGAGGAGCATACACTGGGGGCCCATGCCAAGAAGCCATGGAGAGCGTGCCGCTCCCACACAAGAAGTCAATGGACGTCCTGGGGTGTCGGGGCTGTTCTTTTGTGGAAGGTTTCTTGTGGTCGGGCCCCTACTGTCTTGGATCACCTCGCAACAAAATCGAGCGCACGAGACCGAAAAGTGCACCAGAATGGACGTCCGAGCGGTGGCGCATCGGTAGTGAGATCGATAGTGGGATCGATCGTGAGGCCGATGGTATTGTCGATCCATATAAGCAGGTTGGATCACCTTGCAAAACAAAAAAACTAAGCGCGCGAAACTGAGAAGTTCACGGGGAGTTTCGACTTCTCCGATTCGATTCGATCCGATTTCGATTGCGTCCGATTCCGACTCGGTTCGACTTGGGATCCCGATTTGGATGCCGATTTATATCAGTGGAGGCCTGCTAGCCTGCCGATTTTTCCGCCGAGTCGACTCTTCCCGACTCGGCGGCCGATCTCCGCCGATCCGATTCACGTCGGTCGCCGATCCGACGCATGTCGATTCGATCCCAGGCTCTCCCTGCGGTGGCGGGGGGCGGGGGCGCGCAGGAGCCGCCGCCCGCGCCCGCGGAGAAAACGGTCATGCTGCAGATCCCCCTGCAGGCGGGCCGAGCGCACCGGCGCTTCTGCGCCGGCCGAGGGAAGGCAATCGACAAACGAACAACACACACCCATACGGACCCGCCGTCCTCGACAGTGGGCACGACACTGTCCTCGTCGGGCCTCCTGGGGGCGCGGCGGAGAGCTCCATCGAGGCCCCCGCTTGTCCCCCAGGGCGCCCCGCAGGGTGCCGGTTGTAAATCACACCCTCTGCAAACCACACCCTTCGGACACACCCATCGAAGGAAGGAATTGACGAACCACGACAACTCACACCCAACGAACCCCCATAAGGGGGTCGTTGGGAGGAGGACCGGCTGTGGGTATGGGTGCGGGCTGTCGGACCCTAGGGAACGCCCACGTTCGAGCGGGGACCCCCATCCGACAACACGCACCCATAGCCCTTTCCGACCCCCTCATGGGTATGGGCGTGTGTGTGTGTGTGTGTGTGTGTGTTGGTTCGTCAGGGATCGCAGCACTGGCACGGGAGCCATTGGACTCTCGAGGCACGAAGAGCGGCATAAAGACACAACAACTCGGAGGCCCGCGCGGATCTCTCGGATCCGCGCTGGGGCCCCCTTTGGCGGCACCTCCGACGCCGCCCCCGGCGCGCTCCGCGCGCCAGGGGAGGGAGGGTCCAGCGCCGAGCCGAGGCATCCGCGCGGACCTCCGCGATCTCATGTTTATGTCAGTCTTCGTTCCCCTAGATTAGGACTCCAGGGCCCGGAAGCCGTTGGAGCATCAAGCGCCAAGCCGTGGCGAATTTTCCTGGCTTGCCTGTAGTAGGCCTCCCAGGGAATGTTGGGAGAGCCTTACATGTGTGGTTTGCACGGGATGTTCTTAGAACGTTTCTGGCTGGGACCGTTTGTTTTAGCACACTGGGCTTATGTTCTAAGATCATTTGTTTTGTAATTCGAGCATTATTTGATCCTAAGAGTATCGGGACCTCGCAACGGGGGGGTGCCACAGGGGGGTGAGTTCGATCCGTTGGCGCATCGAACTGCAGAGAAACAATGCAAACTGAGGTCTCCGGCCGCCGCCGGAACCCGAGAGGTGTCGAAAATCGGGGCGCGCGGGGGGCATCGTTTTTTCGGCAATTGTTGGCGCTTCGCGAATCCCCACCAGCCTTAGGCTCTTGCGCGGCCCGCTCGGACCTTACTCGCCGCTGACGCTCTCGCCTGCGGTTGCGACGCAAACAGAATCCCCACCAGCCCATCCAGAAACGATGCCCAGAGGAATTGCCTCGATCAGGGAAGCGGGCAGCACACAGGAAGCGTTTCCCAGTGGAGGCTTCTTGGAGCGTCTTGAGGCCCTCTTGGCGGTCCCGGACGCGTCTTACAGCGTCTTGGGTGCCTCGGAGAGCTTCTTGGGGCCTCTTGGGGGTCTCTTGGGAGCCTCTTGGAGGCCTCTTGGGCGCCTGTTGGGGCCTCCTGGACGCCTCTTGGGGCCCTCTTGAAGCGCTGTTGGGAGTCTTGGGAGCGCTCTTGGAGCCCCATTGGGCCAGCTTGGAGCCATCTGGAGGCCTCGGCGAGAAAGCCAAACACATTGATTTTCCGAAGGTTTTGCAGCCGTCTTAGAGCGGTCTTGGGGCCTCTTGGAGCATCGTGGGCGCCATCTTGAGGCATCTTGGGATATCTTGAGCCATCTTGGAGATCATCTTTGGCTCTCCCAGGCGCTCTCGGAGTCATCTGAAGCAGTGCCCCCCCCCAGGAGGCCAACATGTGGTCAACACCTTAGTAAAATCAGCGATTTTGGCATTGTCGCCGAGGCTTCTTGGAGCGTCTTGGGTGCCTCTGGGGGGCCTCTTGGGGCCTCTTGGAGGTCTCTTGGAGGTTTCTTGTGACCCTCTTGGGGGCATCCTGGTGGCCTCTTGGGGCCTCCTGGCCACCTCTGGGGGTCCTCTGAGGGCACCCTTGGGAGCCTTGGGGGCGCTCTTGGGGTCATCTGAGAGGAGGTCGATCAAAGAAGGGGGGGGGTACGGATTACAGTCGCCCCCTCAGAAGGCCAACATGGGCCAAATCCCTGGTAAAATTAATGATTTTGGCTTCCTCGCCGAGGCCGTTTTGGACGCTCCGACGACTCGCGAGACCCCCAGTCCAGGTCTAGGGGAGGGGGCAGGGGGAGGGGTAAACCACTCCCCGAAGGGGAAGAAGGAGGGGTGGGAGAGGAAACTCTCTAAACCACCGACGCCCAGAGGGCTGGTGGGCTTCGATGTGCCAGCGGATCGAACTCACCACCACCCTCAGGGTACCCCTCCCCCTGTGGTGGACCCCGAGAGTACAGTGCCGTTTTTAATACATGCTCCGCGTGCGGATCATGTATAAACATGCAGGGATTCAGTGCTAAAATAACGATGAGTTCATGCATGAATTTATGCATACGTGAGTCATGGATTAAAAGTCATGTTTCCAACAAATCCCATGTATTGAAAACTGCCCTGTAGTGCGTGGCAGGACTGTCGGAATGCTGGGACGGTCGGCCCCTGCTCAACAAACATCGAGACACACGGCCATGGATGCATCGCCGCCGTTCGGGTCGGATGCGGCGGCCTCGAGGGTCCGAGAAGCCTCCTGGGTACAGTGAAAGCGTATAGTAAGGACGGATGGCACGGACGCGAGACCTTTGGAGGCCGAGGTTGGGATCTGTTGGGCGGCGGCCTGAAGGGCTGGCCAGGGGAAGCGGCAAAGGACGGGCCGCAGGGGCAAGGACACAAGGGTACCCTAGAAAGGGCGCGCGTCCTTACTATGCATGTTGACTGTACATCCCCTCACGAGCTCCCAGGTTCCTAGAAGGATTCTTCCACAACAAGCTCTCCCGAGGAAGGTTTTAGGATGCTTTGCAAGAGGATCCTTCAAAAAAAAGCCTTCCCGAGGAAGGTTGTAGAAGAGTTTATATGATCTGTCTGTCCAAGACGCCCTCCTGAGCGCCCCCCCCCCTCCCCGTAAATGCGCGTGCGCAAGTTTCCCCAACTTTCGGCGGGCCGCGCGGACTCGTTGCCCCGCCCCTCTGGCGCTGGCCCAGGAAATCCTTGCGGATGTCTAACGTCAGGAGGGAAAGAAACACACAGACACAATTAATCGTCGATTCCCAGGAAAATATGGGAAAATATGGGAAGTGGGGGGGAAGACAAAAACCCTGAAAATACGAGAAAATATGGGGAATCATTTTATTTGTGTGTATTTATTTGTGTGTCCTGGGGCCCCTTCATAACGGCTTGTGCGTACAGTCGACGCGCGCAGCAAGGAGGAGCGACTCTCTCCAGGGATGCTCCTTCGGCCCTCGGCGCCTTCACCCTTGCATCTTTCCCCTTTGGCCCATCCTCTGCACGGTGAGGAGATGTCCCTCTGCTGTCTGCCCTCTTCGGCCCGTCCTCTCTGCTGCCCTCGCTGGCCGCGCCCCGCTCGCAGAGCGTCGACGCGGCCCTCCAAGGCCCTCGCCTCCCTTGTCGTGCGCCCTTGCTGTGTGGGCTGCCTGCATGCCGACCTTCCCTGCTTCGGGGCAGACATCGCGGCACCTTGGATCCGCGCTGGGGCCCCTGTGGCGGTTCCTCCGGCGCCGCCCCTGGCGGGCTCCGCGCGACAGCGAAGTGGGTCCAGCGCGGATCCAAAACATGTTTTTTACCTAACAGCGTAGACTGATAGGTTTCTAGTTGACTCAAAAGAGCTCACAGATCACTCCACAGGGGGGTCCGGGCAGGCGTTGGGAGTTGCCGGCCGGGCCTGTGCCGGGCTCGTTTTTCACCAACAGTCACACACTTCGTGCTCGTCGACCTCTCAGAACCCCATTCCCAGGCCACATTCTGAATAACCGGATGCAACAGTCATACACTTGGTGCTCCTTGACCTCCCAGAACGCCATTCCCGGGCCACATTCGGAATAGCCGGACGCAACAGTCATACAATTCCTCGTACTTGACACCCCAGAACTCCATTCCCGGGCCACATTTGAATGCCCGGAGCCAACTGTAGGCCACTTCGTGCTCTTCGAGTTCCCAGAACTCCATTCCCGGGCCACATTTTGAATGCCCGGAGCCAACTGTAGGCCACTTCGTGCTCTTCGAGTTCCCAGAACTCCATTCCCGGGCCACATTTTGAATGCCCGGAGCCAACTGTAGGCCACTTCGTGGTCTTCGAGTTCCCAGAACTCCATTCCTGGGCATGATTTTGAATGCCCGGAGCCAACTGTAGGCCACTTCGTGGTCTTCGAGTTCCCAGAACTCCATTCCTTGGATGCCCGGAGCCAACTGTAGGCCACTTCGTGGTCTTCGAGTTCCCAGAACTCCATTCCTGGGCATGAATTTGAATGCCCGGAGCCAACTGTAGGCCACTTCGTGTTCTTCGAGTTCCCAGAACTACATTCCCGGGCCACATTTTGAATGCTGAGGCAGGCTGAGGCTGAGGCTGAGGCAGGCTGATGCTGAGGCAGGCTGAGGCTGAGGCTGAGGCTGATGCAGGCTGAGGCTGAGGCAGGCTGAGGCTGAGGCCGAGGCTGAAGGCAGACTGAGGCTGAGGCTGAAGCAGGCTGAGGCTGAGGCTGAGGCAGGCTGAGGCTGAGGCAGGCTGAGGCTGAGGCTGAGGCAGGCTGAGGCTGAGGCTGTGTCTGTGACTGCCGTTGCCACTGCGACTGTCATCGCGAATGCGACTACGACTGCGAGAACAGCACAATTCTACAACTGGATTCTCATCTGAATCCTAAGGGGAATGCTTCCAGATATGCTCCTACACATCGCTGTTAGGTTGCTTTGCCGGGATAATTTCTTTTATTTAATCGCTTCGCTCATTCCGCCGGCCCTGGAGCGCTATTTGGGGCCTCTTGGGGCCGTCTTGGGGGCTTCTTGGGGGCTTCTTGGGAGCGTCTTGGGGCTTCCTGGCGGTGTATTGGGCTTGAAGTGGGCCCAGCGCGGGTCCCAAACATGGTTTTTTTCCTTTCATTTCTGCGGGCGGTCGGGGCAGTCCTGCCCGCGCCCTCCCCGCCCGCCGAGTCCTCGAGGCGGCCCCCCAGAGCCCCGTGGGCAGCCCCCCCCGCCGGGGGGAGCGCGAGTCCGGGGGCGGCGCGGCCCGTCCGTCGGGCGAGCCGCCCAGGCCGCCCGGGCCTTGAGATAAAAAACATGCTGGAACAGGTTTGGCCATTTGAGCGAGGTCAAAACATCGGGGTCATCTACGCCGACATTGGCGCGTAAGCTGCCAGCGCAAGGTCGCGCGTAAGCGTCGACATTGGCGTGTCTCCAATGCAGCGTGCCGCGCTGGCGGCCCGCGTAAGCCTCCGCGTAAGGTCGCTGCTTCATCTCGCGCAACACCCGTTTTTGATGGTCGCTCATCTGCTCGGGATGGGATCATTTTCTTTCGGGCAGCTGGGATCTTATTCCTGTCCACCGTCTTGGTCTCGGTTCGATCCTGTCGCTTGGAAGAGGGGGGGAAGGTGTATGGAGGCGGCAGCTCGCTCTGGGACGTGAGGATTCTCGGCGGCGAGAAAACTCATGCATCATACTTTGCAGCCCTCGGCGTGCCTCAGCATACCGAACTCAGCGTCAGCCCCTTCAGCTCCCAATGTGTGTCTGTGCGGGATAACCTATGTTTCTTCTCAGCGTTCCTATTCAGCTCGGAGTGGTGCACGAGCCATGCACAGAAGAGCGCATGCACGTGAATCAGGTCGCTTGCTTGCAGCTGCAGGCGCGCTCGCACTGAGCACGTGTGTTCGAGCTCGTGGATTTCCGTGCGTGTGTCTTGGGCAGTCTTGCGGTTGCGGCAGCTCCCCAGACGTATTCTCAGCGCAGGTGGCCGCCGCCCATCCGCTGGCGGCTGGGGTGGTCAGCGGCCTGGAGGTGAGCCTCCTGGAGACGCGCCTCGAGGACCTCCGCGGCCGTGCCCACTGCCGCCTGCACGTGGCAGCTGGCAGAGCCTCGTCTTCGTCGTCGTAGGTGGCCCTCGTCATGAGTGTCGCTGTGGGCAGGCACGACTCGGAGTGGTCTTTCACTGGTGGTGCTGCTGGAGTCGCCACCGCTCACCCGCGTATTGGCATCAGCCAGCCCTGCACATGTTGGGGACACACACGTCTTGCGTGACACTGAACATGCGGTGCCTGCCTGCATGCATTACGACCGTCAGGGCTGTTTGATATTGAGCCACATGCGTCACGTCTTCTGGCTTCACTTTCCCGACGTTTTGCATTTGAAAGCTCAACCGCCGCTGGAGCCATTATCGTTATCACCTGTACCGACTCGCTGACACACTATCTATTTTGCCGCCGTAGCTGCTGTCGTCGCTGTGATCAACGTTGCCTGCCGCTGCACGTGTCATCGTCAGTCAGACTTTTGCCGCACGCACTTTACCCACTATCTTCCAGGATGGTTGCATGATCATCAACCTGCGCGTTGATGTCGGCGCGGGCGGCGCCGTGGCATTCGAGCCATCTTTGGCACGCTGGGTCAACTCTCCATGCACTTAATCATGTTGTGCAATCGCCTTCCCCACCAAGCCGACCCATCATGTTGTTGCTCTCTCTGTGTGTGTGTGTGTGTTCGGGGAGTGGGCGGTGCCTCAAGCGAAACGCAGAGAGTACGCCGATATTTCCTTCGGAGTCCTCCAAAGGTGGGCTTGCGTCATGTCGCCGGGGCTGCGACTGAGTCCTTAATTTACTACTACGACGCAGACATGTTGGTGTGTGTGTGTGTGTGTGTGTGTGTCATTCTGCTCCTCCTGCCTGTTACGCCCTCCTGATCCTTTTCCTGCCCCCGCTTCATCTTCTCTCACTCTCTCCTGTCTCTTGTTGTCCTTATTTAATTGAACGCCCCTAGGGGGCAGACACCGCCGCCCCACTTTTTTTTTTTGGAACGCGGAGGTTGCGTGGGGGGCAAATCGGGATGTAGCGGGGGTGTTCACTCAGCTTTTGCTGGGCTTTTGTTAAGTGGGGTCTTAAAGACCCTCAGAAAGCCCCAAGAGAGCCGGACAATTACTAAAACAAACGCCACATTGGACAATCAGGTCTCAGAGGGTTTGGAAAAATACGAAAGTGTGGTCTTAAAGGCTTTCAGAAAGCCCCAAGAGAGCCGGACAATTACCTAACAAGACGCCAGGAAGCCGTAAAATAATATGAAACTTATTTAAAAAGGACGCCTGAGGGTGTGCAAAAGTGTAGACGAAAAGGAAGAGGTATACGGAGAGGCGTACACACGAGATCCCAGTTAGTTTGGGGGCCTCAAAAGGGACTCCGGGGACCCCCTGGGCGCGCCCAGGACGGCCCAAGAAAACCCCAAAAATGCTGCCAGACGGCCCAGGCCGGGGTCGGGAGGCGTGGAGGACAGCCGCCGGGAACGCCCGCTGATTCCAATGTGCTTCCAAGAGCCCGCGAAGACGCACGTGAGCTCGAAACGAGGCAAGAATAGAGGCTCGACAAGGCCAGAATGGACATATTCATATGTGTTTTACGATGTGTTTTGCGTGTTGTTTGTTTTGTAGTCGAAGTGGGCCGAGGAGAGGTGGGCGGGCTGCCAGACTGGACCAACATGGCTTGGAGGACGGCCAAGATCGCCCCGGGAGAGCGTCTGGAGGCCTCCAAAATCGAGTCAGTGAGCTCCCGGAGAGGCCTCTGAGAGAGGCCGGCGGCGCCGTGAAGACGAACATTTCCGACGAGGTGTGTTCTGAAACGAAAATGATGGCCAAAGAGCGCTCGTTCCGCAGCTGTGGCCCCCGGGCCGGCGGAATGAGCAGGCCGCGGGGAGGGCCCCAGGAGGGGTTGCAAGGGCTCTGAGGAATGGGTATTGGTACGAGGAGTTCGTGCGCGCGTAGATTGAGGGGACTGAGTTCGTGCAGACCATGCGGCGGGGATCTCGCACGCCGTTCCCGGTGGGGCGGCGGATCGCTTCGCTCATTCCGCCGGCCCTGGAGCGCTATTTGGGGCCTCTTGGGGCCGTCTTGGGGGCTTCTTGGGGGCTTCTTGGGGGCGTCTTGGGGCTGCTTGGCGGCGCATTGGGCCCCCCTCGGGCCTCTTGGGGGGCTCTCGGGGGCCCCTTGGGGCGGGAGGGGGGTAGTCGATTGCAGCCCCCCCCTTGGAGGCCACGGTCTGCGTGAGGGGTGGCGAAAAATCGCTTCCCCCCTGGGGGTCGCCCGGGGCCCGGCCGGGGATCGGCGGGGGTACTTTTCGTCCGGGCCCCTCAGGGGCGCCCCCGCGCGCGCGAGTCAGAAATCTCGTTAAGTAGTTACCGGAGATCTCAGCACGTGTCTGGCCCGTTGGGCCTTCGAATTCCTCCATGTATTTTTACTCTGCCTCCTATCCGGCCGATGGCAGCACCTTTCGGAACGGTCCATCGCACCCATTGAAGACATCGAGGCGACCACGAGTTTCCTGTCAACGTGGACGTTCCGTCGTCGACGCTGCGGCATGCGCAGTAGGAGCGGGACGGGGCGCACCTTGCTCGCGCTCCAGGGCGACATGTCGTCCTCGCTCCAGCGCTGCGCTCCTCTTGTCATCAGAAATTTGAGTTCCCGCTTGCACAGAGCGCACGTGGCTCGCTTGCTAAACCGTCGACCGCGAGGCAGCGCGCCAGCGGGCGACACGTGAGCGACGCCAAACGGGGTCGGTGGCGCCGACATTCGCGCGCAAGCTGCCCGCGTAAGCTTGCGCGTAAGCGCCCTCGCTTCAATCGTGGCGTGCCGCGCGGGCGGCCCGCGTAAAGCCACCGCGTAATGTCGCTACGTCATCTCGCGTAAAACCGGTTTGTGATAGTTTTTTATTAATTGATTTGCCGATCGGCGCGGGCCCCCACCCCCCCTCCCCCCCCATGGAGTAGATTTTGGTTATTTTTTTTGGCGTTTGTTCCGAGCGGGTGGAGTCTCCCCCAAAGGTTGCACACCTTCATACAGTCGCACCAAACAGAGGTCTGGAGCCAGACCCCCCCCCACCCCCCCAATGTTGAAACGCCCGACCAAAAAATCCAATGTCGAAATTCCGCAGGTCTGGAGCCGCTCAATGTCGGAACGCCGAATAAAAACAACTCTCACTTTTTGACCATCGCTCAAATTCAGCTCTCTCCTGGGCACTGGGCAGATGTGTCGGCCGCAGGTCAGGGGGCAACGATCGGGGGGGGGGATGGGCATACGGGGGGGACGCATCGACCCCCAATCGCCCATTGATCGCCCATACGGGCCCGATAACCCCAACCTGCCCAGGAAGGTGCGGATTCACCATCGGATGCCTATAGCCGATCTGTCGACGATGTATCGCCGATTCCAGGTCGATGCATCCCCTACGCCCAACCCCCCTGTCGCTGCCCCTCAGCAGGGCTCCCCCGCCTCGGGCGCGCGGCGCACGTGTATGCGTCACTCCTCACCCAGGCGTTTTGGGAGAGGGGGCCCCGCGGTTGCGTGCGGGCGAGTCGCCCCCCCCACCCCACCCCACCCCACACGCCCAAGCTTTTCCTCCTCCTCCTCCTCTTCTTCCTCCTCCTCCTCCTCCTCCTCTTCCTCCTCCTCGTCCTCCTCCCCCCCCCCCCTCCCACGCCCAAGCTCGGTGTACGTTTCGCCTAGAGGTGCCGTGCCCGCTGGAAGGCGCGGCGCATTTTTGTTCGTCTTGGCAGCGCCCGGGCGTGTGCTCCTTCCCCGCGGCAAGGACCATCGAAGGGCATGTTGGGCCATCCCGCGAAAAAGGTATACCGTGGGGGCCCATGCCAAGAAGCACCCTGCTTGCCTCCAGGGTGGGCCCTGGGTTTTCTGGGCTTCGACGGTTTTGCTGTGGAGAGCGTGACGCTCCCACACCGAACTGCAGTGGTCTCAGGCTTGTGTTTCTTGTGGAGGTTTTCTTGTAGACGGGCTTCCGCTGTATACGCGCACGAGGCCGAGACATGCACGGGGAATGGCGAGTCGTCGCTCGCCGCGTCGCCAGAGAGCGGCAGCGGGGCCGCGCGCGCGCGGGCGACATCGTCCAGGCGCTGCGCAGATTTCGCGCGTGCGAGTGACCGTGTTGCTTCTGCACGGCGCATATGTTATCTCCGCCCCTATCACCGCACAACCATAAATGAAGGGGCCCCAGGACACACACACACACATAAATACACACAAATAAAAAGATTCCCAACATTCTCATATATTTTCTTGGTTTTTGTCTTCCCCACCACTTCCCATGGTTTCCAATATTTTCTGGGGAGTCGACGATTAATTGTGTCCTTACACCTGGGATGTTCCATCCCCGCACTGGGCCCCGCCGCCGACGCAGTATAGCCGCCGCGGGGCCCGCTGGCGGGGCTGGCCGCGCCACGCGCTCGGGGCGTGACCCGCCCCCCTCGGCGGCTCGCTTCTCCCGCCCCCTCTCTCGGCCGCGCCCTCCTGAACTCAGCGCGGCACCGCGTTCGCGGGCCTTGTTGTTCGAGTCTTGCCAGCAGACACCCGCTGCTGGCCTTCAGCTCCCGCGGGAGGCCCCGCCAGCAGCAGCTGCTGGCAGCCCCTTCTGCTCCCGCGGGAGCGCTCCATGGCCAATGACGATGACGTCCTACTGGGTCCTCGTCGTCCTGAGTGGGCTTGTGGGCGGTGCGGAGCTGCTCACAACTGGGCCAGCCGTATTCGCTGCAGATGTGGCAACATGGCGCCCGCCCATATCCGCAGTCGTGCCCAAGAGGCTAACAAGAAGCAACTCGCCGCCAAGCCCGAGTCGGGAAGTGGAGGTGGGCGTGGTAAAGGAAAAGGTCAAGGCAAAGATGAATCGGGCGGGCTCCTACGTGTACAGGCGCAACTGGATGAGTTGGTCAAAGCGCTTGGACGAGGAGAATTGCCTGATAAGTCTGACAAGCCTGAGGGCAAATCTAAGCGAGCACCTTGGTACAAAGATCAAGTTACTCGTGATCGTGAAGCTGCTGAAGCTGCGCAACAGGCTGACCCTGGGTCTGACGATGCGAAGAGGTCGGTTGGTTGTGCAGGCGAATGAGTTGGAAGAATCGCTCAAAAAGGTCCCTTCAGGCGATGAGTTTGATGAGTTGCGATCCAGTATCAAGGCAAAGTTGGAAGTGCTACGTGGACATATCAAAGAGTTGCGGAATCCAACCACGGCGCATAGGAGGGCCACCAATGAGTTGCAGCGTGCACGACAAGCGGTGGCCAGACAAGCTAAAGAGTTGGAAGAGAAAGAAAAGCAGTTTGAAGAGTTGCGTCTATCGATTGAGGAACGCAAGACGAAGCTCGAGACCAAGCGTGTTGAAGTGGCAGAGTTGGTTAATGAAGTTGCTCGTACATCTGCTCTACTGGCTGCTGAATCTGGTGAGGCGAAGGTACCCTCAGCAGGCATCAAGATTGAGATCGACAACCTCGACCAGATGTACTCCAAGTACGAGGGTGTCGAGGCCTTCTTCAAGAGCGCAGCGTGGGAGGAGATCCAGAAGAATATTCGTGTGGTTGGCCCTGCTGATGGCAGTGTTGGGGCTTCAGCTGCAA